CCTGCTTTGGAAGATAGGACAATTAACACTTCTGGCTGTAATGTAAAAAAACTCTCCATTTTTAAGATATGTGGATTCTTATTTAATAACCTGAGTTCCTTGGTTTTTTAAACGTGTAAAATACATCATGTTCTGATATGATACATAGAAACTGTTCTGATTTAAATTGTTTAAAGAGTTTTAAATGTTTCTGGTTTTGCAAACGTTTAATTTTTGTCTTGGAGACTGGTAGGAAAACTTGAATTGCCCTTTGCACTTGCGGTAGCTGAAGCGAAGCATGGGATCTCTGCCATTGCGTGGCTTGGAAATGGGACGCAACCCCCGTTGCACAGGTTGCTTATTTTAACAGTTTTAACATGAGAGCACGTAGAGCAAGATCAGGGAGTATCTGTTGTTCAGATGCCTTTTCCTTCTCTCTTGGAGACTCATTAAGTTTTACTCCTCTGTTTGTAAAATTTTATAAAAGAGTTTAGTGATGTAACAGGTCTCTAAACTCCTATAGGACAAAAAGTAGAAGGAACGGATTAAAGTTTCTAACATAAGGATCAGCCTTTTGGCTTCCTGCACGTGGCAAATGTTTTTCAAATTCTTTTGAACTGGTATTTTATTTAAGCGATGCTATGAATTCTCTGTTGACGGTGTCTTGGCAGGAAAATCTGCAGGAAGTCTGTGATGATTTGTGCTATTCTTCCATATCTGTAGTCATTATTCCTTCTACTCAGGAGGCTGCCCGCATCTTGAGCTTTTTTCCATAAGGTCTGTGTCCATCGGTTGTGTTTACTGCCTGGCAGCACTGGTGCTGTGACTGCGGGGCCACGTTCTCATTTCTGTGACTGTTAATAAATGCCTCCCAGGGTCACAGGATTTCCACGGTGTCATGGGTAATGAAGTCGTACAGCATTAACCTTCCGGGAACCCGAAGGTGGAGGTAAGGAGGTATTTCCTACCTCTGGCAGCTTTCTTAACGTGCTGGCTGGGTAATTGTCACACTACACATCCTGAGTTGAGAGAATGGGGACTGAACTGTCATGGGTAAGTCTGCTCTTAATCTCAAACACTGGATATTAACCCTCTGGCCCTGCCCATCCTCACGCCCTCCTGCAGCTTGTGTCTGGTGGAGAGATCTGTTGGCAGATCATGGCTGCAAGTTCATTCCATTTGAGAAACGTTTCTCTCTGAGGCAGGTATGCAGAAGGCATAGTCCAATTTTACTACATTTATTTTGTGTACTTGAAAGCTTTTTTTAATGTATTTCCCACTAAATTGTAACCTTGTGTATTTATGTATATTAACATGCAAACTGCTGTTTCATAAGCTGGTCCTTCCTGAAAAGTGTCTCGTTTTCTACAGAAATAAAAAGTTGTGTTTGAGGGCATTCTTTATGCAGCTGTGTGCTTCTGCTTGGTTTGGTCAAGCTGAAACCATCCTAATAAATGTGAACAGGAGACTTACAGCTGGGGCTCAGTACCTGTTGAGTCCTTCCCTACTTCTGTGCTCTTTTGCTGCCAGCTGGGCAGCTTGGGTGTGGAAAAAGTAGGAGATAGCTCTGTGCTAGCCTAGCAAGTGTCATCCATTTATCACCAGGGGAAAGTAAGTCCCACCAGAAGATCTATTTCCCACCTCTTTGCTGTTTCCCTCAGACTACAGCTGTTGAGTAGCTGATTTTGGAGATCCTCTTGGAGATCCAAGATAGGGAAGCCTATCTTGGACTTACCATGTCAACTTTTGTGATTAACAGGATCTTTATTTTTCTGCCTGACTCATGGTAGAAATTGCTGGAAGACACCAACTAAGAAGCAAAATCCCCGTAGTATTGATGGGACCGCTTTCTTTGCTCAGTGTGTAAATCAGGTATTTACCTTTGGGTATTTATTTACTTTCAAAACGTTAAAACTCTGATAGAAACAAGTCTACTGATACGCTGTTTTAAAGGGTAGGAGTGTGGCTGCTCCTGTGCTCTGTACAATCTCATCTCTACTGTGAGCTGGATGAAGAAAGCAAATGGTTGAAATTTATTCACTGTTCCCAGCTATAGCAGGTGGAGCAGTGAAAGCTGCATCTCTGCAAACCTTCCTTTACAGGTGGAGGGCTGGTGTTCCTTCCACAGCTCTGAGCATCTAATGTCTCTGATGTCTATGTGCTATGTAAAGCAGGTGAGATAATGTCTCCTGAGCTCGCCTGGAAGTTGCCGCCTTCATTCAGACAGAACAGCTCTGGCTTATTTCATGCCAGTTCTGGATCTGTTTTGAAGCTGTCCTCCTTGAACTGAGAACCTTCCTTTGTGCCTTCGTCAGTGTGTTTGTACTGGGCAGAAAATCCTGAAGTACAACTCCTTCTACAGGAGTAGAAGGAAGCACAAAGCATCTCCAGATAGACCCAAGCGATCCCAGCGGAGGAAGGAGGGTTGCCAAGACTCCTGGCTGAGCGGGAGACCTGACCGCAGAAGCGTACAGAGAGGTGGAACGGGCTTCTCGTAGGCTGGCTGCAGCCTCCGGCTGCCCTGCACAGGCAGGGTGGGATGGTGGCCAAAGGAGCGCTCCTTTGGATGAGGTGGATCCCTGTCGTGACATCTAGATGTGCAATCCCTGTTCGTCTAACGCAGATGTAGTGGAAACGCCTGCTAGTTAGTGCTGCTCGCAGAGGGGGACCAGGCCACGCTCTGCTGTCTGCTGCAGAAAGGCAGTGCCACACCGTCCCCTCCTGCGTCCCCTGCACGGGGTGATCTCCAGCAGCGAGGCTCAAAGCTGGTCCCCAGGCTCCTGCTTTTCACACATGAGGAGGGAATGACAGCACATGCATCCTAAGGCCAAGTGATGTGCAGGAATATTTTATAATGAAAAATTGCTTTTTTTTCAGGCAAGTCAGGTTCTCTGCAACCAGGAAAAAACCAAACCAACCAAACAAAAAAACCCCCAAAAAAACAATAAACCCACAACTGTATTTGTATTGGCAAGGTGATTATCACCACCCTGCAGGTCAGGCTATAGTAGCCAAACAGGAGGCAGAAAGCTGCGTGGCTATTTATTGGTGGCACCAGGAGAGCTGTGTATCTGAGCATCCTATCAATATCAACCTGCATGGATTTGTCACCTGCTCCTGGGGCTGGGATCTCCAGAGCGCCGCTGGCCCAGGTATCTGCAAGAGGAGTGAGTACATCAACAGCCCAGCCTTGGAGACTGGCTGAGTATTTGCACCAGCAGGATGCCAGGTCCCAGCAGCATGCGTGGGACGGCTGCTCTGGGTCTCCAGCCTGACCTCCTGCTTGGAGCAGGCCTGTCACCAGCTCTGGCTCAGGCTGGCCATGGCTTTGTCCCACCAAGTTTTGGAAAACAACTCTGGAACCTGGAGACACTGGAGTCAACTGAAGAGTGCTGTCTTAAGGGGAAGGATCCTGCTCTGTTTGGCTGGACCACCTAAGAACTTCAAGAGAAAACTTAAGAGCAGAGCTGCTGCAAATGGTGACCCAGAGACATCCAAGCAGCTTCTCTAAAAGCTAAGGGCAAGCGCAGAAGAAACAGGATAAAGTGACAAAACCTGCACAGGCAAGGGCAAAGTGTCAGTTTCTGGGGGGACGAGCTATGGGGACCAGCAGGTCACGAGCAGGACAAGGCCAGCTCCCTGGGGAATACAGGAGCTGGGTAAACCTTACTGGAGCTCACCCTCCGGCTGTGGAGCAGTTGCCCTCCCAGGGGCTGCAGGGACCTGGCTTGGCAGTGCCAGCCCCGGGACTTCATCTTCTTCTGCTGATGGGTGCATCAGCTCCAGCATGTCGAAGTTGATGTACTGGTACAAGGGTCGCAGGCGTGGCCGTTGTCCTGGAGAGGTACAAGAAGAGCCCAGCGCTGACCCCCCCTTCCCTGCCAGGGCTGTGCTGTAGCTCACGGGCTGCAGCAGCCCTGAGAGGAGAGGAAGAATATTACTCCTGCCAGGAGAGGAACCAAGGGCTGCAGGGGGAGGCAGATGCCCTTGAGCTGAGGCTTTCTGGTGGAATAAAAGCCAGGGATACATGGCCATATCCCAGAGACAAAAGAGCAGCTGGAGGGAAGAGCCATGGCGAGCCTGCCTGGGCATCACGGTGCCCAGCTGAAAACTCACCAGTGGCAGAGCCCCCGTCATCACCTGACCCACGGGGACGCTGCCAGGTCCGGGAGAAGCAGAAGGGCCGGGGACCACCCTCTTGTACTATGGATCCAGCCTTAGACCAGCATCATTCCTGAGACATGTCAGCTAATGCCAGCCCAGTTCAGCTTGTGTGGCTGCAGCCACCGGCTTTGCTCACCCAGCGTGTCCTGGGACGTGGCCCCTCTGGGAGGGCGCAGACTGCTCGCACGTCTCTTTTTCTTCCTTTTCTTCTGCTGCGTGGCAGAGAGGCCAGCATCACCTCCAAGGGCGCCCGGCTCCTTGGCAGTGGGATGTGCCTTCTGGAAATTAGGGTGCTGCAACAGGAGCACTTGCGAGTTGACCCTGCAGGACAGAAACCAGCTGCGGGGCACAGCCAGCTAGGGCTCTGGCTGCGGTGGGAGACGGAGCAGCACCTCGGTGGGGGCTCCATGCCCTGGCACAGGAGCTGCGTCCAAGTGCCCCCCTCCCCCTTGGTCTGTGCCCCTGCCATGGCACAGCCGTGCCTGGCTGGCACCTCGCTGCTCCTGCCCTGGCCGTGCTGGCTCAGCTCCCTGGCTGGACCTGGATGTGGCTGGTGGTCACTGACTGTGGCTGATGCATGGCTCCAGGCTACTGCATTGCCATAGCTGCCGTTCCCTTTCCAATATGAGCCCCGTGACTCTTTGGGCTTCTCCCTTCCCTGGTTTATCTGCTCTTTTAAACTCTAAGCAACTCTCAAAATTACTACAAACCGAGCTCCTCGATTCTCAAAAAAATAAAAACAGAACGATGTCCAGCCACAAATTCTGGATACTAATATCTTCCACATTCATCCCTTCCTCCCAACCTTGTTTCACCCT